TTCCATTAAGGCCTCAGTAATGAGAAGCTATTCTTCCTGGTACCAAAGTATGCAGGATGTCTATATTGTGAAGGGTCACTTTTACCTCTTCAGTCAGAATCTGGACCAATTTAATTACTCTTTATAACATGTCCTGAAAACTTCTGAAGCTATTTGGGTGAGACAAGCCAAAGTGACTGGTATATTATATGGAGAATAAGATGAGAGAAGCCACTGGTGCTAACTTGAAGTCCTGTATATACTGAGGGTCTTCTGGAGGTGCCTGAGGTTTTGGACCTCTGAGTATACCTTTCTTTGATGTGGCACAAGAGGAAGAAGCCTAGTGTAAGAACCACAGAGATTCCAATATGGCCATGCAGAAATATGTAAGGAGTAATAGTTCAGTGGGAATAGTACTGGTGGTGTGGCCATCCCCATAACTCCCATGGTGTTTGGATTTGTCAGAGATCCTGGATTCCCCATCCAACTACCAGAACTCAAAGGGGACCCTAGAGTGATCCCTCCCCACTACACTATAAATCACCAAAATAAGAAAACTCTCTCTCTAAAGAAGTCCACAATAGTAACCCAACAACAGCAAGTGGAGGAGGTCAGTAGCACTGTCCATGCATGCATTACCATGTGGGTGGGAAATGAAAAAGAATTTAGACCTTTCTTTAGTGGCAGCTTTAAGAAGTTATCTGCTTCTGATCTTATGGGAGAAGCAATGCTTTTTTTCTCTAAAAACATTTAATAAGAACAGTCCTATAAGAATTCCTGAAAATCAGTCTTGGTTGATAGACACCTGGAGGTTACTGAAACCAAGTTCCACAGCAGCACTTCCTGACACAGCAAGCAGTTGCCTAGGTTTGGAAGGGGTGGAGTGAGAGTCAGTTGGTCCAAGATCAGAGACTGGATGCATGAAGCAGTCAAGGATAAACGTGTTAAGTCCCGCCTCTCTTGCCTTCAGTGCCTTTTTAAAAAGGTTTGCACACAATGACTTACTGAGGGCATGGGACTTCCCTAGAAGAAAAGGAACAATTAACTGAAAAGACTGAAAGAAAGAAAGAGAGAGAGGGAAAAAGTGGTGTCATTAGCTGGAATTACCATTCTGCAAGAGTGACAATACTTAAATCCAGAAGATTTAAATATTAGAATATGTATTTAACTCTATTTAAGTAAAGAAATCATAAAGTTCCCAGCAGCAAAATATTTATAAAGGAAGAAAAAACTGAAACCAAACAACAAGAGATGCCAACAGACAACTATTACTAATATATATACTCACTATAGTTTTATATAAAAAAGGGAGACAGTTGAACATGGACACTGGAACTCCTTCTCAAGGCCAGGAGTCTGCACTTAAGGTACTGAATGGTAGTTGGTTTCACATGAATCTTTATGCTCTCAATACAAGAACATGAGGGAACTTGCAGCAAATGCACAGTCTTAAAGTCTAAAGTCTTAGCTAAAAGTCTCTGATCTTGAGATCATGGGATACAGCTATACTTCAGTAAATACATATATGAACTTCAAGCAACGCCAGTGGCTGGAAACTGGAACTAGATAAATTCAAATAAGAAGTCAGGCACAAACTATGATTAATCACTGAGCAGTGATTCTTAACCAGGGTATAATCTTGTTCCTGTAGATATGTAAGGCAGGCTTGAGATGTGTGGACGTTACCAGCCTATATACCAACATCCCACACCAGGATGGCATCCCAGCCTGCCTTACATATCTACAGGAACAAGATTACAACTCAGAATACAGACCCAAAGATATTACTGACCTTATACAGTTCATCCTCACACACAACAATTTCATTTTTAATAACCAACACTTCCTCCAGATGATGGGAACAGCTACAGGCACCAAAATGGCCCCACAGTATGCCAACCTTTTTATGAGCCACCTGGAAGAAGACTTCCTCAGGAACTGCACCATCAAACCCTTGCTATACTTAAGACATATCGATGACATCTTCACCATTTGGGCTGAAAACCTACAATCTCTAATTGAGTTCCATCAGAAATTCAACAATCACCATCCCAACATCCAACTTTCTCTAGAATACTCCAGCACCAACATCTCCTTTTTAGACACAATGATCAGTATCCAGAA